GTAAATGTTGAACTTTTAGAACTTAATTTTGCTTCGAGAACCAAAGATTTACATTAATTTCCATGTCTATAACAAAGGTGGTCAGAACAACAGAAGAAAGGAGACCTTCCGAGAGAGCCTCAAATGAGGCTGACGACAGTATGTGATGTCATAAGAGACTTGAAAATGTGGTAGAATCCTCACCAGGTGGGGGTTACCTTTATGCCATAGAGGTGAAACTGTGCACCAGGAATATCATTTTAGAATACAATGCAGAATTAAGTGACATAAAAAACATGATGAATAGATTGTAATTCAACACAGCTAAAAAGAAAACAACCGTAAAAACATCAGTGGATAAATTCCATCAGATTTTATTTGTTGCCATACCGCAGTCACCAGTCTGCCATTATTGTAGACTCCCATCCCTTCCAAATCCCCTCGCAAAACTAATTTCGCTTGTTTTCACAGTATGTCATAAGACATTGTGCTCTCTTGGTTTTTGTCCCTTTAAGAGCAGTTTTCTGTGGTTACCGAAGAGTTACCACTTAGGGTCCATTCCCAGACTTTATCATACTAACTGTGGAGCAATCTATCTCCAAGGGAGTTCTTGCTAAATTGCAATCAACTTAAGCGGCTTAGACACATGTCACACCTAATGAAGCTGCTAGGGGGTAATTAATTATTGTTTAGCAGCTTCGGTAGGTGTGCCATACCCCTTGGAGATGGACTGATCCTGTTAGATCGATCTAGTTATGGGAACCCAGTCTTAGTGCATTCTAAGTTGAACTGCCACAACTTGGCATTAAACACAGCCATGCATTTAAATTCCAGTAATTTGCAACCAATGTTATTCACATGGGATTTTGTGGGGGTTACAAAATCATACCATGTTATGGGCCCTCTGGATGGAAATGGCTTCCTTGTACCAGGTACAATTCCAGGCATTTGGTAGTCAGTAAATTAGAACAGTATATATGTACTGAATTAAGATCAGACTCAGTTTCTGGATATTGGGTGGCAGTCGTATATAATTATGAACAACTGACTGTCTGACATCATGCGCATGTTGGAATTTTTGTGATTGCAAACAATATTATTTTTAATGTGATAACAAATTTTTTATTCTTTGGAAAGAAGGGCAAAACCACTTAACTGCATGCAATGTCATTTTTTTATTTATTTTATTCAGTTATTTATATTTTTATACTGCATTAAGATTTTTATAATTTATTGGCTGTTTAGCCATTAAAGAACTCATTGAACAACGAAGTACATGTACTTTTTTTCTCATGGAAGAGGGCATATCTTTTCACTTGTTTACGACGGAAAAAGGAGATTAATTGGAAGTACAAATAAATGCATATTTACTTGTCTGAAATCTAATAAGGGATGACTTCCTTTGACGGATATAGTCAACTCTTTAGATGCTGGACAGATGGGTATGTTTGTTCATTTACTACTGACCTCGATAACAGGACACATTTACATACCTAGATCGATCTAGCAGGACCGACCCATCTCCAAGGGGATTCTCGCTAAATTGCATTCAGATTAAGCGGCTTAGATGTCTGACATACTTACTGAAGCTGCTAAGCAATAGATAATTACTCCCTAACAGCTCAGAGATGGGTCGATCCTGCTAGATCGATCTAGGTATGGGAATGGGGTCTAAGTTATATCAGCTTAACTTCATACCCCACCAGCCAAGCAGTCCCTGTTATGTTATTATGATTGATAGTGTTAACCATATGGAGTCAGCCTAATTCCTAGAATGCAGTCTCGCCCCCTGGTGAAATGTCTATGTGTACATTATAAGCCTACCGTTTAAAAGTCCTATTACCTAAGGCCCTTTTCTTAAGTGGTATATTTTTAGGGGTGCAGTCTGTAATACACAGTGCGCTGAGAGTAATTTGACAGCTTAGAATCCTGGCTTTAGCATAAGAGAGGCTGCAATCACAACCAAGTTGATCTGTGGACTAACTGATCCTTGGATCAAATATGGTGCCACCCACTTGAGTGCATTCTGTATAATCCCCTATTGATTTAAAGGTTTAATTGTTCTACTCCTGCTGGGAGGTAGGGAATCAGTTAGGAGATTATGCAACAGGTTTTCAAGTGCGTACCATATTTTATTGGTAGATCAGTTAGTCTGCAGATCAACTGGGTTGTGAAGGCACCCAGAGTCATCCAAATGACACGGCCAATTGTTCAACTTCTGCCCCAACAGCAGGATGCAAATTTGTGAAAGCAAGTCAAACTCCCTGTAGCATAATAACACGTTAGGACTTCCCAGAGTGAACTGGTACAGATTGTATGGTTTAAATATACAGCTCAATGTAAAAGGGTCCCCAATCTATGACTGGACAGTACAACGCATCCCTCTTGTAACTCCCATTACACTGGACAGCGTCCTTTCTGCGTCCTGTGTGTGACCATGAAACAGGCATCACTGTGGTCGTGAAAAGGAAGCACAAGCATCACTTTGGTTGCAGAATGAATGTTCAATGTTCGGCCAGTTGTTGGCACGTAAAACATTTTTTTTTAGCTGACAAAAGGGGCTGTACTGTGGGACACAGAAAGAATGCCATCCAGTGTAAAGGGGACTTTAATGATTAAGCTCGGAGTACATTAGCAAAGATGAAAAACTGACCACCTAAAAATGAGTATGATGCATTCAGTTTATACTGTAGTTTCCTCAGTCTTCTACTATGACTAGTTATTACTGTTTTAGTGATCCCATTAAATTAATTCGTTCTGTGATTCAGGTATGCAATGACATCTATCGCTTAATTGGTGAGGAGTTTATTGACCATTTATGATTAATCCAAAGTATCTGTGAGGGTCATCTTGACATATGATAGACCAATAAAACATTAGTCTTAGTCACGCTGTATATAATAAAGTAATGAGAATTTACATTGCACCACACACCCAGATTATATAAGAAGACTGGAGAATAATGCAGCGACTTTTGACATGACATTTGCTGTCTGATAACTCTGATTCTATAGTTTATGTCCTGTTTTTCGATCGTCACTAAGATTATTCTGGAGTGATACTGTGTGAAAAATTTTGATCGCAATAAAAAAAACAGTTGATGAATTAATCGAATCTACTAGAGCTGTTGAACCTGCAGTTGGATTATCTGCTGTAACGTCATCCTATTTTTCTGAGAAACCCGATTAGTCTAAGAGATAGGATTGATTCCTCGCCAGTGTCATGCAGGGCATATGAAATGTTGTGAGTAGGTTAGAGACCTAGCTGCTGGTGAGTTCATAGTAATGTGAGTGAGACATGAGATTATTTTCAAGTAGTGATCACTTAAAAGTATTGAGACCACGTCAACTAGAGTTGAATTTATGGTGTTGATGGTGAAGTCAGGCTATATGATAACTGACAGGTATGGCATTATGATTTACTTAATATTTTCAATGGGGGAAAATTATTAATTTTATAGATACTGTATTTTCTACATTTTATTCAATGCAGTAAAAGCATTTCAAATGCTATATATAATTGCCTCTCTCTTTCTCTCTCTCTCTCTCTCTCTCTCTCTCATTTAAATTCTGCTTATATATCAATACCATTTTTGTAGCCAACACTTCCAAAATGTATCCTTGTAGACTTCAGGCAGGAGAATTATATACCAATCTAGACTACCCGGGCCTTCTTTGACATATAATTGTGAATGATGACTTAAATTGGACAGTTTCACTACTGGAATAGAAACATCTTTTTTCATTTAGAGAAATAAAGGAGTGTTAGTGTCAAAGAATTGTTCCACAAAGGGCACACTTCCTGTATTTAAGTCGTTGCATTTGCCAAATGGAAAAAAGTGACAATTTGGGGGGAAAAGGATGACATTTAGTGATTTAAAAAAAAAAAAATCAAATAAGACAAACTATGGGCTTCCCATTATAATGATCATAGTGATTTTTAAGGATGTACATTTGTCTTTGAAGGAATGTTTTGATGCCACATCTTTTTTTACTTGCCTTTTTTTCTTTTCTGTTTCTTTTTCTTTCAAAGCTAAACAAAAGATTTTAACACGTGGCTCATAAAAAAAAAAAAAAAACATTTTTATTCCGTCGCATCTTGCACATTTTATTCATTCTTACCTCTACACCCTATTTCCATAGATTAGATCGACCTACTTTAGATCGACCTAACTCCCTGGGGGGTTCACGCTAAATAGCTGTCAGCCAGGCGGACACGAAAGTTAATTACCCCCTTACAGCTTGTAGTAGGCGGGACGGACATTTAAGTCGGATTATCTGAAAGTAATCTAGTGAGACTCCCCGCGGGGATAGATCGATCTAAAATCTATGTGAATAGAGCCTTAGATGTGGCATGTGTAAAATAGCATATTGAACTTATGCTGCTCTAATTGACTCTCGGGGCTTTTTTTTTTAAATGGGTGAAATTTGCTTGCTGTTGATTTACATATTTTGATTATCGGTCAGTATCTCTCAACCTCTCTTTATTTATTTTTTGACAAGGTTTTCAGTATATTGAATGTGTATATACAATTGAGTGCATGTCATATTTAAGTTGGCACCTCCATTGATTGGTATAAATTGCATTTGAAAATAGACATTAAATCCTCCCAGTTTTGGTGACGATAATGGCACCAGATAAATATTTTCATTTATCATTGGTTTAGCTGTCTACCCCCAGTGGGATCGAGCAGTATTTTTCTGCTGAATTAACTTTTTGTGAATGAAAATTTATTTGGACAGGCCAAGGTTTCTGCTTAAATGTCACTGGGTTTGGTGTACTGGTTGAGTTATGTCTGTGTCTGAACAGACCTGGTCCTCCAGGTTTCCTTTTATTGGCATAATGTTTATTTGGATATTCTTGGTGATTATTTTTTGGGTTTCAAACACACACACACATACACACACACACACTTATATATATATATATATATATATATATATATATATATATATATATATATATATATGTAGCAGGCATGAATATATGTTATACATAGATTTATTTGATGTATATTCCAGATAATGAAGCTGAGAAGAGGGGTGTGTCTTGTGAACACAGACTGAATTAGCTCCACCTTGTGATCTGAGTGAAATAGGAGCTAGACAAAAATGACCTGAAAAGGTAAAGGTCACCATGTGATGCTGAGAAGACAGTATGGAAAGCCTCTTACCATGGCTACTTCTGGTTGCTATGGTAACCGTATGTTCTCCCAGGTGTTTACCTGAGATTACAGGTAAGCTTTTTTTTTTTTTTTTTGTGCAATTTTGTTTGGTAGAATGGAATGGAATATTCTTTTTCATATCTAGATAGAAATAAAAATGATTATCAGAAACCACAGTCCTTTAAAGAAATGAACACTTGTTTCTATGTATTTTGGCATGTGCAGACTGCTCTCATCAGGAGACTACTAAATCATTGACAATTAAGGAATTCATTTGCCCAAGACTGGACTTGTTAGTGATTCATTAGTTGTAAACCACTGATTTGTACTCCCTTGGAACTTTTCAGACCCAAAGCGCCACCTATACTACAAAAATGGTGATCTTCCAATCAGATTGGAGAGCAGCAACCGTGTGTCTCACAAGTTGGCTAATCACATCCTCAAAATTTTGCTGGAAGAGAAGGTTAACTACCAGAAGGTTGAGATTAAAGATGCTTCAGATCCTATGAATCCTACCAAAATACTCAATAGAATCTCTGGATGTGTGGATTCAAAGTGAGTGGGATTTTTGGTGACTAGTTTGGTTGCTAGATTTTCTTTAAAACTGTCTTTAAAGGATACTTTTGTGATATGATATTTGAGTGATTGGTACATCTTGGACAATTGATAGTTGCTGTTTTCAGTTGGTATATTTTGTTGCTAGTTATATGATGAACGATAGGACTTTTGTATTTGAAATTTGTGATAATATTGGCAGTAATAGCCTAAAACTCAGTAATGTTTTGATACAGAGAGCTAGAATGTATTTCCATGCAATACACTATGAAAAAATGTGTTTAAGTGTATTTTTACCCCCCCCCCCCCAAAAAAAAAAAAAAATTAACAACAATGTTTCCATTCCAAGTTGTTCTCGGCGCCAGGACATTCCCGAGACAATGGTGAACATAGAGGTGTGGATGCCAGCAGGATTTAACATGGAACCATGGGCTGACAATGACCATGTCAAAGACTGCGGGCCACTAGGCCCTGTTGGGAGGTACGTGACAAGATATTTGAGAAATTCAGTTGAGATGATATCAGTGATGATATCAGTGATGGCTCAAGTGAACCTCAAACTGAACTGTTGATGGCTAGCCATAGTTCGTGCAAGGAGAACGTAACATTGTGATAGTCACAATTAATTGTCCAGAAATAGACTCAAGAATGTTCTTGCATATATTGCTACAACTGCTTTGATGAAAAAAAAATTGTTTCAGACTGGTTTAATAAATCATGCTTTACCTCAAATTTTGCTTATGTCCTTTTTTTGATTTTCCAGGTATGGGTGGTACCTTCCAAATTTCTTTGTAAAGCAAAACTGGATCCAGCGTAATCTCATCACAGACCACTGGAGGGCGCTGCAGTCTAGCAGTGTCACCAGGCTCTTGGACTTAAGCGATGCAAGAAACGAGCTTCTCAATTTGGTGCGTAAAACGGAAACTTTAGGTAAAGAAGAGTCTGGCTACTACTGCAGCGCGTCATACTGCTCTCAGGGACAGTACAGTGGTGCCACCTGTGGTTCTGAACCGTGCGCTGTATTGGTGTCAGATAGCGTAGGTATGTATTAAGGTCACATAAAAGCGGTGGCTATGGTTTTTCTGATGGTTTAAACTAGCTGCACAAAATATGCACGTGTGTGTGTGTGTGTGTGTGTGTGTGTGTGTGTGTGTGTGTGTGTGTGTGTGTGTGTGCGCAAAAATAAAGAGATTAGGAGTAGAGTGTGTTGGAGAAGATATATGGTGTTGAATCAATCAGTTGTTTTTTTGTTATGACTTTCTAATTACTGCGAAACCTGTTAAACTGTTCTGTTCTGTAAACATTTTACTTTTTTCTCTATAGAATGTGTTTTCTCTCTTGGTCCTCTTCCAATCTGATCAATTCTTTTGCAGTTAGTTTGTGTAGTGTCATCTTTCCTAAGATTAACCTGTAATCACTTTTGTAGTTCTCACAGTTAAAAATAAGACGTGAAAGGATGTACCATTTAAGGTTGATACTTTAAAGTTATTTTATTTATTATTTTTAAACAAGCTGGCCCCCTTTATGCTTCTCTTTATGCTTACCCTAATGAAAAAGTCCTATAGGATCCTATAAGATCCTGTAGTATCCTATAGGAAATTGGGCCTGTTTCCTATAGAATCCTATAGGACTTTTTCGTATGGGTAAATATAATGGTTCAGGTCTGTCTTATATCATTTTCACTCTTTTTATACTGTTCTTTTTTTAAAGGAGAAGCTCAAAAACCTGATCAGTGGGACAATACATTTATAAGTAACTGCATTCTTTTACATGTACTAATTAAGTGTTAATAAAGCTAAAACACGTCTCAAATATTTTTTTCAACATTGCTACAGTGTCCTATTTGTATTTTCAAAGGATTAAAAAGAGCATTTCTTGGATTTGCCCTTTCCCATATTCTATTTATTTATTTACTTATTTATTGGATCTAGAAACACTGTACATGGTTGCAAAGCAGATTTTCGTGGCAATGTTTATCAAAATATTTCTATCCTTTTTCCCTAGCACCTTTCCATCTGCCAGCATTTTATCCTGCCTTGATGCCTGAAAGTGTCAAATTTTCAAATCAAAGCTTGCACGCGTGCACACACACATACACACACACACACACACACACACACACACACAGCATTCAGTTCCTCGTGGCTTCAGTGCAGTTTTACGATTCATTTTGAAGATCTGCCCTGCATTTTACTTGCCCTCAAGCGGTCTCAACCAATTGCACAACTTGTCTCAACTAGCACAATCAGAAGATCCAGCTAATTAAGTGCACCCACCTATCACTATGGCAGGCACATAGCCCCAGCATAAAACTTGTCCTAAAACACAACAAAAAGCAGCCCCCAGTGATTTCAGTTAGTTTCAATAACTACTTACTCAAGTTACATATTCAGTGATCTTAAGTGAACTGCTACATCTGACATACTAAACTATACGATAATTGTTTTTGAAAGAAATGAGTTAAAAAGATAATGTACAGTATGTGCTAGTTTAAGATAAGCAATCAGGTCTTTCTATTTGTACAGTAGATCCTGCATTTTTTGGAGAGATTTTCTCCAGTATTAAGAAGCTGCTTAAATTTTACTTATAAAGAATCAAATGTTTGCAGCAATTAAATTTTGAAAAAATTAATTTTTCAGACTCTGATATGGATACCCTGAAGAACCAGATAGACAATTTAAACCTGAGTGTAAAAGTTGCCTGGGTCGGCAAGAGGCTGGAACGGTTTGTACACCAGAGAACGATCAAAGGTAAACCGACGTTATTCTTCCACTTTACACCCAGCGAACTCACAGCCAGCAACAACTACACAAATATCAAATTCCCTCGATGTACCAGATATCTGGAGCATCCCATTGACTGTGATTTTGAGATCAACCAGCTTTCCAAGGTAGTGTGGCCGAAGCTGGAGAAGGACGCCGAACCTGCATTCCATGTTATCCAGAAAATGACTTTCACTCAGCAGCAGTATATGGAACTATTGCAAGATTTTGAGCACATAGATGTCCATTTTAATGGCGCTTACCAAGAGGTGGCTTGCCAGTGGGTAAAGAAGAACAGCCACATTTGGTCGCAATGGATTCCGGAAAATTTGGCAAACAAAACCAAGATATATCTGGGGGGCATGTTTTCACTGTCACGCCGTCATTATTTTGCGCCAGGTGTTTACGTAGGTAAGCTGTAATAGTCATTGTAGTAGAATTTGATTATTTCTGTATACATATGTGTATTTTGATGTAGGGAGCAGAGCACACAAACAGTGTGGTAATTAGACCGCAGCTTCCAGATTCCGCTGAAATAAGTTCATTTAAGTACATATTGTTCTCCTGTTCACCAGCTGTACATCACCCTGAGATCTTGTATGTTCTACAGATCAGTGATATCCCACAATGTGAAATGCTATTAAGTACTCATCAAGTACCACATTATATCACTGGGCGATTCCATGGTGCCTTCCCCCCTGTTACATCAACATAATTGACATTTTTATATCCTCTGCAAAAAAAAAAAAAAAAAAAAAAAAAAAAAGGGATGAGAGGAAATTGCCTGATCTTATAATTAGCAATTTTGAAAGGAATTTGTAATGCCGTAAGTCTTTGAAGTTTTGATGGTGGATAAATGGCCATGTGGGGAGGGGGGATGTTGCAGAATGACCCTGTTTTAAGAATTTAATGTTGCTAGTTATTGAGAGATCACTTTTTTGAGACATTCAATCAATTATTGGTTCTAATGGCATCTTCATGAATTTTAGACACATTCTTTAATTTACTAAAAAAATGTTTTCTTGTCTTCTGTATAAAAAGAACAACCAGTGACTATATCATTTAATTGCCTTTTTTGTCATAAGTCACAGCGTATGACTCATACCTGAATTTTTTCCCCCTTTTCAGCTTCCAAAATGGCTGCTGATTTAATCAATAACGACACATCATTGCTAAAGAACTACAAATTAGAGGTGGTTAAAATTGACACCAAGTGTGGACTGAAGGAGGGGCAGAAAGCCTTCATAGAGATGCACTACAATTCCACTTATAAGTTAGCAGGAATCCTTGGTGAGTTGGCTACATATGGAAAAAACTTGAAATTTAAGTCAGTCTTGGAAAATATTTTCAGAAGACAATTCTCTGCTGACATAATTTTTTTCACTTATAAAATTTCATCAAACTTGAAAATTGCCCTCTGGATAATTTTGTTAAGTTCTTCACCTAAAATGGTCATGTCAACATATAGATTAATTTTTAAGTTAGGAAATTTTCACACATTCATTTATATACACATGCACTCAAGTATACATGCACCCAAACATACATATGTACTCACATATACACACACAGATGCACTAGTGCATGCATACGCGCACACACACACACACACACACACACTAATAATCTGTCTCATTGCAGGCCCAGACTGTGCAGATATCGTGCGCCCCATAGCGCGCCTTACCACCACCTACGATACTGTGATGATTAGCTTCAGTGCAGGCAGCATCCATCTTGGAAACCGACTCCATTATCCATACTTCTTTAGAACTATACCACCAGTCAGCGAGTACAGGTAGGGGCTCAAGTTATCTTAGACCCCAATCCCACAGGGAAAGATTGATCTATCCCTGTGGGGAATCTCACTAGATTACTGTCAGCTTAGCTGGCCTAAGCGTCTGTCGCACCTACTAAAAGCTGTAAGGGGGTAATTAACTACTGTGCACACAATCAGTTTTTTTTTTTTTTTTTTTTTTTTTTTAACTTAAAAATATGGAAGATCTTTTTTTGTACAGGCATTGTATCAGAATTAACAAAGTAACCAGTTTTGTGCATCATTATTTGCTCTTAATGCTGTACATTTTATAGCTTTGCTGCTTGTTTTGTTTCAGCAATGTATATGCAGAGTTATTTAAGCTGTTGGACTGGCAACAGGTTGCTGTGCTGACTTACGAAAAGGCAGAGGAATATCTGAGTCTTGACAACCCCATCAAGATAGTGTATGAAAAGAAAATCCCGGCAGACCATAGCAAGAGAAATATCCCAATGGTAAGTGTCGTCAGGATGTGAATATGACAGGAATATCTTGACAAAGCGCAGTGAGATCAGAAATAATTTGAGGAAGTTGAAGAGAAAGAATAAGGTGGGAGTTTTAAAACTTGTGTCATTCTGGGTCTATTACTCGCAAGTATTTAAATAATTAAATATAAGGCAATCACACCAGATGCAATCACTGTGTAGTTATCAAGCTCTGGTTTATGCACTGAAAAATGGGAAATGAAAAAGGGATAATTCACCACCTAGTCTGGATTAAACACTAAATCACTTAAAGATGTTAGTAATTTGATTTTTAAAAAAATCCATATTTTCATAGTTAAGAACTTGAATGTGCATTCATATATTTTACTCAAATTTTTCAGATGCTGGACGAGATCAAATCCAAAAATGGCAGAATTATAATTGGCACTTTCTACGAAATGACAATTGCTCAAGATGTCATGTGTGAGGCGTATAGAAAGGTAGGAGCGTACTTAATGTATAAGGTTAAACCTAAATCATGATGTGATGGCTGACTTGAGATATTATTTTGATATTTTTTCTTCTCACTTTCCATAACATGAGGTTAAATCTAGGTTGACATTTAGATTGGTTAATGTGACTTCAAACTAAAGTCATGATTTAGATTTTTTTTCTCAGTTTTCGTATTATGTGATTAGATCTGAGGCCACACTCAAAACAGTGGACTCACTAGTCCGTGGGTCAAATATGGTGACCCACCACAAAGCTTACACTCTAATCTGCTAATAGACACTGGTCAACCATAGTCTAAGTTGGCTCTCAGCCTAGTTAGTCCACTGTTCTGAATAAGGCCTTGGGCATTATTTTGATTAGAGCTATTTCTGATAATTATCTCCAGTGACAAAACAAGTCACATCAGGATTGCCTCCTCACCAGCAGCATCACTAACATTATAAACTTATATCAGAAATAAGATTTTACAAAGTTATGTTCTTAGCATTACAATAGCATCTGAAAATCTTGAAAAATTTTCTAATCCAACCAAGCATTTTTTTCCCCTTTTTCTCTTTGAATTTTCCCACAATGTTTAAAACAGATTGGACAAGACCTATAGCTTTGTACATGTAATCTCACTATTTTTCATTTATTTTTCTCTTCCTCGTTTCAAGGACATGACTGCTTTCAAGGGGTTCCAGTGGTTCCTGACGGGATATTTGGGAGAGGAATGGTGGGACACTGACTACTACAGAGACAGGGACAAAACTGTGTGTAGTACCAAGGAGATGTTGGAGGCCGTCAATGGTTCCATCTCCATCAACCATGCTATGTATGACCGCGACGATGTGAAGGTGGTGGGCAACATGACAGTCGCCAAGTGGAAGAAAGAACTGGAGAGACACCTGGGACAAGTTAGTTGATTGTTTTTATTTATTTATTTATTTGTTTTCTTACTGACTAAGATTCCACTGTCTTTACAATAAGTAGGGCTAGCCACATGTAAAATCTGCATTAGACAGTGGTATATTTGAAGTGGAAGAAATGGACCTCATTTTCAATGCTTTTTTTTTTGTCATTCATCATATATACTCTGTTCATTATTTGAGTTTTATACCAGACTACATTGGACAAGAGTGGATTGAGAATTTAACATCTAAATTTTAGAAAGTCGCGACTTTTTCCAAAACCAATGATGTAGATCTGTGTTAAATAGATAATTTGTCTGTATTATTGTTTTGCTTGAAATTTTTCTGAGTAATTTTGATGAAACATTTAAAGATGGTCCCCCCCCCTCCCTTTAACTGCAAACACTGATTTCTGTCGTTATAATTTTCATCCAGCATAAAAGATACAAAGATAACCCCCACGTGACGTATGCCTATGATGCTGTCTGGGTGTACGGCAAGGCTCTGGACAGTTTACTGAGCAAATCTCCCGCTGTGCTAGGAGACTTGACTAATAAGGAAAATGCTAAGTAAGTAAAGAAAAAGAAACTGATATTATGCCTGGATAGACTTTATGTGCTTTGGTAATGACGTCAGGCAAGTCTAGATTTTTTGAAACCAAAATTGTTTGAGTTACAAGTAACCAGTTCAACAATTGGTGGCAGAAGTGCAGTAAAAGTTGCTGTTATGTTGGAAATGTTAAGCCTTAATCTTTATTATCACTTGGCATAAGATTCTAGAAATTTGAATTGTATTAAGTAAGTATAGTACGTATTATATTTTTGATAATTCTAAAATATGTTTAACACTTTCGTTTTAAGAAAATTGGTCGATGAGATCAGCAAGGTCCACTTCCAAGGTGTGTCAGGGCAGATATTTTTTAAGGAAGCTGATAGGTCAGGAATTGTGCTCATAAAACAGTTGATTCATAACAAGTCTCGTGTGATTGGGCGATATTTACCCAAACAACTGGATCTTGAGGAGAAAGATATCACGTGGCTGTGGCCTGGTGGGAAGATCCCAGACGGTCGCCAAGGTAGAAAGATTTATTATTGTAGACAACTTTATGCATAAATTTATGATTTATAAATATAAAAGATATATAATTTGAAATGGAAAGTAGAGTGGCTAAGTTTCTTTTCTTCCCCTCTGTCTCTGTCTCTCTCTCTCTCTCCTGCATTTGAGGCACTTACTTCTTTAAGCTTCACTACTTTTTTTTTTATATATATATATGCTTAAGCCATCCAGAACAATTCCTATACTATTTTCTCATTTCCCAAAGATAGATACCAACTCTTTTTCTAAATTGTAGCAAATTCCAATCAGCCAGTGTGCAGCATCGAGGATTTCCGTGCAGCTCTTGGGGTATCCTGCGATGTGGCTTTGGTGATAGCCAACATCATAGGGTTTGGTCTGCTTATCATGCTGCTGATCGTGGTGTTCTCTATCATTAAAAGAAGGTAAAGATAGATAACTCTACTGGTTTGAATGTGTTTTTTGTGGAATTTAGAATGTGATAGAATTTGTTAGTTGAGCTAAACATTGTGATTTGCAATGGTGTCTTGTGATATTCTTTATTGGCATGCTTTTGGGTGTCAGATTATTGTGAGCAATGTTGGTATTAGTTGGTTTGATCTGTTGAGAATGTAGAATTTGAATGCGAGATGTGGTAGCTACCACTGAGTGTGAGATGTGATCCTAGTTGGAATTTCAGATTGGTGTTTTTTTTTTTGTTTGTTTTTTTTTTTTAGTGTTTTGATGCAGATTCTTATCATATTGCAAGCTTTGTTTTGCAAATAGATTTCCTTCTATAATAATTACAAGTGTATGGCTCTCTTACATATTTTGATAGAAAAAGGGTCCATTTAATTCACTTGAATTAATTTGTCTTATAGTCGTTGGTGCTTACATTTTAGATATGACCTGAAATTCCGCCGTACCAGGGAGAGGATGGAGGAGCTGGGTCTGCTCTCGGACACCCTGAATTGGTTGTCCCTCGATGAGTGGGAGCTCCCCAGAGACAAGGTTGTGCTGAATCGCAAGCTCGGGGAGGGAGCATTTGGAACAGTGTACGGCGGAGAGTCCTTCATAGATGACAGCTGGGTCGCAGTGGCAGTGAAGACGCTGAAAATTGGCTCATCAGTGGAGGAGAAGGTGAGTTAGGCATTAGGGAGGTTATTTGACCAGGGCACCGAGAATGAGATCAAGTCATTATAATCAATATATTTATGGTGCAGTTTCGCTTGCAATATCCATAAGTGCATTGCAATAAAAAATGTGATAAATTCCACTGTTTCTCAAAAAAAAAATGGCTGTGTATTACCTTCAAAACATACTAGATTTTTTTTTATGCCACAGTTTTCAGGTGTTTTCATTGGGATTTTTGAGCTGACTGCACCTCATATGTAACAAGTTTATAACAATCAATACACCTGAAAATCTGTAGTATAAAACCTAAACAGAAGAACAAGCGTGAGGCATAAAGGGCCCTCTATATTTCAGCTTGATTTCTTAAGTGAAGCGGAGACGATGAAGAGATTCAACCATGATAACATTGTCAGGCTGTTAGGTGTCTGCACCAGGGGAGAGCCAGCCTATGCTGTCATGGAGTTCATGTTATATGGTAATACAGAGAGAGAGAGAGAGAGGAGGGGGGCTGACAGTGCTTAATTTATCATGTGAAAAAAATCTTTGTTTCAAGTTTGCATTGTATTTTCAAAAATTTGTGAAATGCCATTTTTATGAAAAAATGTTTAAACTGGATTTATTTGTGCTTATTTATCTTGAATAAAGTGGTACAATATGTTGGATTTTAAGATAAATATTAAGGATTTGAGATGTAGTCAGATGGAAGCAATTGACTTCAAACAAATCACATATCAAACATAAGTTTTTTTTTCCGAGGAATCGTGGAATTTCTTGTTTTTACATGACCTCAGAGGATATAAAACCCAAAGGCTAGGTGTTTGGTCTCATGTTAAATGTTCAGAGGTTTTCTTTTTATTTTGATAAACCTAGGCTCGTGTCTGAGATATCTTTTCAAACAATATTTTATGTTTCAGGTGACCTGAAGACATATCTCTTAGCCAGACGACAGCTGGTCGGCAAGACAACCCCAGAGGCGGAGGATGTGTCCGCGATCAGGCTGACCGCCATGGCTCTGGACGTGGCACACGGACTCCATTACTTGAGCGCCCTGCATTTTGTACACAGGTCAGGTTTTTTTTTTTTCTATTTCTCCAGGTGCTGGAAGGGGTATAGCTACTCCTAGGCCTGGAATTCCTTCGATTTTAGAAGATATTGTTTTCAACCTACCTCTATTCATGTTTGGTAATTCATCAGATTCCTTGATTTCAAGTTATATCTAATACCTAACCTAAGCGCAGGTCTGATCAAGCCCTAAGAAAGAAAAACTTTTTGAAACAGTTTATTCTGTTTTAGCTCTTAAGAATCCTTGAATAACTGAAGTCATTCTCCAGATTTTTAAGTGTCAGTAATGTTGCCTCTCTCTTATTCCCTGTTATACATAGTTTAATGTATAGTACTGTATAGACATTGTTATGTCTACATATTCTTATCCTCCAACTTAGAATTAATAAGATTTTTGTCCTAGTCCATTCGCTGATTAATTAATAATGAAAACTGGGCTGTTTTGAAGGAGGTTTGCCCTCTCTAAGTGCTTATTACTTGACTTATTTTGAATTAATATGAACTTTTATTATTTATGAAAATCTTTTTTTTTTTTTTTAATCTTCTTACAGAGATCTTGCCTGTAGGAACTGTTTGGTTCACATGAGTAAGACAGTAAAGATAGGTGACTTTGGGATGACCAGACCTATCTTTGACCATGACTACTACAGGTTTAACAAGAAAGGTATGATTTCAATGAAGATTTTATGAACCATTTGCTGTACTTCACAAAATTGTGTCATTTTAATTCTTTTTTACAAAAGCTTATTAAAACTTGGTTACTAACTTTACTTGTGGTTTAACAAACTGAGCCCGTAAAAGATATGGTGTTTGTTGGTCTTTGTGCTAAATTCATATGACACCAGTTTTATTAACTTTACAGAAGTTAAATAAAAAATTACCAAAAGGAAAATTATATATATATATATATATATATATATATATATATATATATATATATATATATATATATATATATATATATATATATATTGAGGTTTTTCAATTAATGGCTTGAGGAACAATCCAGATACTTCACTAATATTTCATCTACTCACTGTCAGAAGAAAAGAACTTCTAATTTCATAGCTGATTTAATTTTTTTTTTTTTTTTTTTAAATTTATAAACAATCATGTGATCTCTATAATAATATGATAAAAGTAAACTTATTTTCACTGTTTAGGTATGCTGCCAGTGAGATGGATGTCTCCAGAGAGCCTCACAGACGGGAAATTCACATATAAATCTGATATCTGGAGTTTTGCCATCTTGTTGTACGAGATCGTCACGTTTGGCAGCTTTCCATATCAGGGCTTGACCAATAATCAGGTTTTGGAGTTTGTGAAGAACGGAAATACGCTGGAGCTTTCAGACCAAGCGTCCCCCAAACTGTAAGTAAATTTTAAGTGTCCAAAAGTTGAATTTCGTGAATAAGGAAGGTGTGACCTGATGTTGGTGCTTTCATACCATATAAACTAACCCCAAGCCACATGAATTTACTGGGTAGTATTAAAACATCTAGATGACACGTAATATAAATGTATCAAATGTGATTCATTTTGATTATCTTTAATGCACCTAAAAAGCCCTTATTTTTTATGAAAGTATTTAAATCATCTTAAAGTATCTTGTTTCCTTTCATTCTATGGGGTGTTGTTATTTAAAGGGAAGGTAGGCAAATTATTTGTGTGTGTGTGGGGGGGGGGGGGGAACAATTTTGGGATCAGACATCATCTCTGATTAGTCTTTATTAATGTTACTTTAATTTTCAATAAAGCCTTTTTGTCAAAAATGAGTTGGAAAATGTCTAAACACTTGATAAAAGTGTGAATTGTGAAATTGTATTGTCAAATTGTGTTTTATCGAAACATTACACACAAATTTTGACATTCTTCAAAACAAAAGTATGTAATTGGTTTCTTACTTTATTACAGGAAATTATTACTGAAAGCCTGTTGGGAGTATGAACAAAGCAAGAGGCCGGACACCTTGGACATTATTGGCATACTTGAGGCCAATCCTACGCTCATAACACCAATTTTAGATGCTCCATTGTCAGCTGTCATAACGGAGGAGTCCAAATCACTCAATATCAATATTCCAGTCAAAAGCAAATTCGGTGGCATGGCCCGAAGACGGCAAATGCTACGCCAAAGCAGCTCCGTCTCACACGATGGAAGACTGTTGTCGTTTAACGGCGATGTTGAACCACATTCGCCAAACGAGCCCTCCTCTCCTGCTGTTAGAGGGGATCGTGTGCGGCATGCAACGGGGGAGACGGTGTTCATCTTTCCTCACAATTCGGAACACTCGAACCTTGAAAACTTCCATCTGAGTAACAGCAACAAGAGTATGCAGAGTTTGAAACTGGCATGCAGCGACAGGGGCAGCGTACCTAACGGGCTCGTGTGTCACCAGGACTCCATGGTCGCAGTTGGAGACTCCTCAAATAACATGATCCAGTTGAGTGCACACAGACACTCCCTGGAGGAGAAGGGGGACAGTGACTACTGCAGTGACAATTCCAAGGAGATGTGGAATCACGTCAGTCAGGTATGACGGGGCGCCTCTCCCCTTGGCCTGCCGACCAGGACACGGGAGGAACAGGTGACCGCTGCTTCGGCAGTGGCGCAAAACGGAGACGGGACGATGTCCTCTACATCGGGGACAGAGCCACGTCCCAAGGCCTGGGCGGTTTCCATAAACAAACTTCCAGTTTGTAGTCAAGGGGAGAGCTTTGTATGAAGACTTAATACTTTCAAACAACTTCTGTATGTAAATAGAAATATGTGTAAATAGAAATATACACATGGACCTTATAAAGGTTACAGGTTGTGAAACTTAGTAGAGATAAGGTGATGATTTGACTTACTGATTGGCCAACGTTTATAGCATTGAAATAGGCCAGTGCTTTGTAAGTTGACCTTTTAAGCAGCATCAAAGTGGGTGGAATTGAAATAGGTCAAGGTCATTCAAGGCAGTGAAGGTCCAGATGGATGTGCTCATGTTCGCATTGCATGGCCTACTTTTTTTAATGAAGTTTTAGGGACATGCTTTTGAACTTTGGGAATATGTCATATATTTCACTAACATCAAAGTTTTTATATCTCCAAGACCATAAGAATACAGGTCAGTAAATCCACAATGAAGTGTAGGTCGACATTATACATGATTTTAGTATTAATGTAAGTGGTAATTGTAAATAATTTAACATTTTGTACAAGATTAATAGAAACTGTTAGCTGAATAAGTGTTTCTGTTATGATTTCTGCTGTTTGGTCTACATGCAGCCCTTAGTCAATGAGTCATGACCTTGAATAAATATGTCAAGGTCAACAAGTTTTGAACTTGAATTCATGAGTGAAGGTCACCAAGTATTGACCTTGACACTGAAGTTACCTCATTATTTATGCACAGGCCTTGTACTAGACAATGCAACTTGATTGATACAAAAGTGACCTCCATTGCCAGGTGGTACGTTAATGGCTGGATCCTTTCAACCTGGAAAAATTTTCAATTTTTCAGAGGCATATAATTTTGTAATCATTAAAAATAAACTTTTTTTTTTAGCATTTTGGTGCTTTTACTGCATAGTATAGAACTATTAGGTAGCCTGCTTTTCAATTGTCTAATTTGAAGAATTTATTGCTTTGAAAATACAGTGTTCCAGTTTGAAATGATCTAGCCCCTATCGTATGTTATACTGTGATTGATATTGGAGGAAAGCTGACTGTTGTAATTATGTATGTGGTTGCATTCGGTTGATGGCTCCTGTGTTTTGTGACTGTAAAAAGCATCGTGATTATACATATATGATATGAGATGAGTAAATGGACAAGGCTCAAAATGTTGATAATTCTCTGTTTTGTAAAACACTTAAGGTAATGTATTTGACATTGAGAGGCTTGAATGTGTCCAAAATATGTTTTTTTCCTTTTGGTCATAAAAGTTGTTATCTTTAAGTGCTATTTAGAAAGTCATATACATTTACATTGTTATTATATTTTTTTTCCAAGAGCAATTACTGGAGGAGCACTTTAATTTTTTGTTGTTAAATTTAGATCACAGTCTTAATTTTCCAGCATACCCTACATGTATTAATATGTTAATGTGCAAGTGCATTTTATTTTATTTTATTTAGGTTGCTAAGCAACTGTTGTTTAGTTAGGGCGCCTTTGTCTCAAAGCACTTCTGCTTTAAAGAAACCCCAGACAAGTTTTTATTTTTTTATTTGTTATTGTAGAATGGATTACTGTTTTACCATAACCTATTTCACACCAATTAACCAATTTTTTAAGAATTATTTTTCATTGAATTGGTCAGTCACTTTGATTTGCACTTTAATTTGTTTCATGCAATACCTCATTTATCTGCTGTTTTAGCATGGGTATAAATACTCTGGCTAAGTGTACCTGGTCTTTTTTAATCTTTAACCCAATTCAGTCAAAACTCATTTTGACATAGTTGCAGGAAAGCCATTTACCATTTTTGCTGCTTCTACACTTTTGACTATCGATTTCCTTGGTATTTATGTGTTGAACACATTTTCTGGTGATATTATGATAAACAGCAGAACCTCACACCAATCTTGTCTTGTTTTGGCAACTCAGAGTTGAAATTTAGATGTTAACTGTAAGGTATGTGTAGTGTGTTGTGCTGTCTCATAGTAAAGTGTCTTTCTTGCTTTTTTTTTCTCCTTTTTTAGACTCAAGGTAACAGAATTGTAGTTGTTTGAATGAACTAGAATGTTATCGGTTGTTTTATCACACAATGTTTAATTAACAAGTAAAAATTTCTTTTAAAGTTCCAAGTCTGTTGTCAAGCCATTTAAGTACCTTCTTTAGCATAATATTTTCAAACTACTAGAATAAGCATGATAGTAAATCAAAACCTTTTTGTGTGTGTGTGAGTCATGAAAACAACTGTAAGCTGTTTGTAGTCTTATCTGCCAAAACGAGAATTTTGTCAATGATTAAATGCTCAGAAATCCTTAAGTGAAGATATTAAAGGTTATAATCATTATCATAAAAAATTCATAGTAAAGAATGGACCATCTGGACGATTGTTCTTACTACATCTTTTATTGTGTAAAAGTTTTCAGGATTTAAAGTTTCCCTTTTGATGTCAAATTTGATCTTGGGTATACTTTTTGGTGTTTATAGGTGATTGTAAAATTGTAAAGCTTTTAATGTTTTTTTAAGTGTTTTGGAGTAATTTACCTGTTCGAGAGCAATGGCCATGGTGCCACCAACCTTGTCGGGTCATTGACCTTGTTGGGGTCATTGACCTTGATACTGAAGGTCACCAAGTTCGATTTACTGGTCGTCCCCATCATCATCATCATGTGTCAGGCCTGATGCAGGAACTCTAGTTTACTCTTTTCAGTAGATTGGATGAGCTCGTTATTGTGCAGTTGTTGAATTGTTGCGAAGGCATTAAGGCTATCAATGTATGATGTTCTTTGTAAGTTGTTTATTTTGTCCAGCTGTGTTCACTCTGTTTTAACACCACAGTGACCATGATGTTGTTGAGGTATCTACGAGTCAGTTTTTTTTTTTTTTTTTTTTTTTTGGTTAATTGCCTTTTTAGAATGAGCGACCTTCATAAAGTTACTTACTGTTCTGAGGGTATTTAGTGGTAGCAATGACGGTTTGCAAAGTTTTCACTCAAGTTTCATTGTTGCTATACTTGTGTCAAGTTTTTGCTTTGGGTTTAAGTTGCAATACCTAATGCACACTTTTGGGGTTTCTACACTTTATACATATATATATATATTAAATATATATATTTCTACCTTATTCTACTTTTTTTCTGTTTTATTTCTGGGATGAAATGTGTTGTATGTGGAAAAGAAATCAATAAAGATGCCATGAAGGGTTCAAATGGAGATATGTAAGAAAAGTTACTGTTATGTGTTATTTATTTGAATTGAATTTGAAGATTAGTGTACATACATGTAGCAGCTACTGCCCAGAGTGTGAAATTCATTACTAACAGTATCACATAACTAAAGATCGATGGTAATTATGTGTTTTTAAAATTGCATAAAAATTGACGAAAAGTAGTACGAGAGGAAAACCATGTCACTCACTGTCTATAAACAGTCTTCAAACTGTCAAGAATGATTTTTAGTATTGAAATACGGCTGTAGTTTGAAAAGAAGCCTCCTAAAATTATTTCTCACTGAAATATTCTAATGTTAAAATGGAACGTGTGTTACAACTTAATCATAACCAACCAGTGTCTAAGCCTTTACTGAAGATCTATAGTGGAATATACACTGTAGCTACAATGAAAATCGGCTCTCAACTTTCCCAATCAACCTTACTAAATGCCAGATTTTGTCACAGTAAATGTATTTGAGTAAAAATCTGTTTATCTGATTTTATATATTTAATAAATTAATAATTTAATACATTGTTCTATAGCTTATTTTCTGCCTAATTTCAAATAATGCTTGAGAAAAAATGGGCCTACCTAAATTGCGGAGATCGTACCTTAAAGCTCTGGCATCTTATAAAATCTTTTTACATACCTTCTGCAGGTTCTCTGTCACTCAATATCTTACAGCGATTGTCCAAAAAGTCTCTGCAAATATGGTAGTGATACCAGCAACTGTACCTCGAGTCAATGTATATGACTAAGTATGTATGTCTAAGCCAAAAATCTTCCGTAAGTGTTGAGTGGATATATTTGTAGTACATGTACACGTATTAGGTTTTGTCGCATTCTTTATGAGGGATTTTAAGACACTGGCTAACTTAACTGTATCGGTCAAGGGCCCACAAAAAATTGATTTTATCAATTAGTCTGCTGGCCCATGTAGATCCGCTATTCTTCGAAAATGATTTCCACAGCACCCCCTCAGTCAAAATGTGCCAAACCTGTTGTAATTTGCATAAGAATAGGTCGATCGGCGAAGTGCTCACTACTCGTATATCTTCTTGGCTGGTCACTTGGCAGCTGCACACCGTAAGGACAGGACGCTGATATGTGTGACGAAGGCGAAGAACTGGACATTTCACCCAGCTTTGAAAATTGTAACAAATTTGTCATGTGAGTAAAATTTCTTCGTGGTTTTTACGATTTCAAACTACCAGGTACCTGTAGTAAGATCTTAATGTATAATACGCGTTCTAAACTTCTAGGTTGCAATTGTCTGGTTAGTTAAACCGATTTGAGAAAAGTTGCATAGTAGTATCTCTAAAAATCATGAAAATCACGTCTTGCCAGTAGACACAAATAATATGAAGAAAGTTTATTAGATAGTTTGCTTTTTGGTGCCCAAATGCTGTCAATTCAATGTCAGTCAATATACGTAATTGGGTCACCTGAACCTAAGATCTAATAATAATCTGTTTATTAGATCTTAGCCTGAACACATTTTGTATTTCAAACACTTCCATAGTACAATGTACATGTACTTGATGACCACCCTTAGATGCTGCCAGAAACTGATCAGTATAACATTTCAGTTCGTTTTATATAGAAAAGATTTTCATTTTTGCAATTGAAACGTAATCGAGAGAGAACTATTTAAGTTTTCACGACGACATGAAAATTCTTGATATCCAAAGGATAATTTCCATGATTTTATAGTGACCCCATAGTTCATTTTACAAATAATAGATTCAGGCTGTTATACCATTTACCCAAAAATTGCTGTTCATGAGAAAACTGAAATATGTATCAGATCATTAGCCTTCTAGGCTCTAAACCTTTGACTTAATTCTTTGTCTTTGCATTGGGCGCGCTTTCCACTTGTATTGGTAGCATTTATTTCTTGTCATTCTTCTCATAGTGAAATATCGAAAAAATTTGGATCTTGAAAACAAACCCTTTTTTCTCGATTTTTCAAATTTGTTGTTCAGTTAGCCTCAGTGTGATTTTTTTCAGCATGGGCACAAGTCTTCATTTTCAGTTAATCTAAACTTCATTCAAATTCTATTGCTTTAAAATATGGAATAACGTGATTTCAATATCGTTATTTATATTTAATTTTTATTTTGATATTTCAGAACTGCCAACGCCTTTACCGAGATCCTGCAGAGTGCACTTCCTTCTAACAAAGCTTCCCTCGTCTCCGGGTCGAGTTTTAAAACCTGCCGCAGATCCAGATCCATTTGCACTGCACATGCTTTATGTTCAAAACTGTAGATCCTCTCTTTGTGATTTTCAAAACTTTAAAATATATATATTATGCGCCCACATTATAAGCATCGCACATGACACGTGTTGAAAATTGTACATGCTTTCTCTATGATTTTCTGAACATTTTAGGCCTGCATATTAGATTGTAACATGTTAAAATGTTGTACTACTTTTTTAATTAAACTCATGAATCAATTTTTTTTTGTTTTCAAATTATACCCTAGGGAGCGATCATGATTTTAAAAAGATTATTCCTTGGGACATCCTCGGATGTATACATATACATATGATTTTATTTAAAACCCATCCGGCTGCTCTCCAAATTCATCTCATTATGCAATAGTGCAAATATTAACTTGTTTAAAGTGCCATGATCTGAGTTTTTGCAAATCACAACTGTCAAACTTGAGAGTAAAAACGCAATTTTTACAATGTCGGATAAGATTGTTTATTTAGTCAATCAGCTTCCTTATCATATCAATATAATTTGCAATATACAAGTCAATTG